TGCTTCAACCTATCTCGCTCGTAGTTTAAATCTGCTACAACAGCCATGCAGCAGCCCAAGTTTGGAATACCTTTCGAGTGTGAGTACCTCGGCATACAATATATATATGGTTTTCAGAATCCAGCAATCAAGGAAATCTGTAATACTCATTGGTGGATGGACACAGGCTTTAACGTTCCTTTACACTGAAAACAAGTATTTTATAGAATTTTCTATTTATTCCTTTCAATAATTGCTACTTCTTGGTATGCTAAATTCATGTTTATTGTTGTTGAGATTAAATATGTTGTCAAAAGTAGAAAAAGACTTATGGTAACCTACTTGCTCTTCAACAATAAGATAAATTGTATCCACCCATTCATGCAATTTCATGCACTCATCAGCAGACATAAACTTACTCGAGAGACATTTTGCAGCTTGGTCAGTATTTGAAGTGTCAAGGAAGTGGATTCATAAAATTTATTAAAAAGTAATTTGTAGTGTTACCTTGTCGTTTGCAAAATTGAAGAAATTGTGTGCAAATTTGGTCTGCTGACTCACATTGAATAATTAACAGAAAAGTTGTCAGGTAGAAGCATATTAGTACCGTCACAAAAATCAGGTTCACTGGTGGAACGAGCATTAAAATCACTGCTAGGAAATCATCAGACGAAGTCGTCCCCATTCTTATTAGCTTCATTTGAGTCAGGTGAGATGTATACAACTGTTAATATGATAATGGGTTCTGTCCTGATGTTACAACTAAAAATGGCGATCCGACAAACCTGTTGCTGTATAATTACCCACTATGTAAGATATTTCTTCCCTTCGAGTATCTATCAAATTTAGATTGTTTGGCTTTATATATTTGAAATGATTTAAAACCAGGAATTTAAAGCTAACTAAATCCTATTTCCGTCAAGCAGACAATATCAGATCTTTGTAGATAAGAAATCGAATCAGTACCTTCGTGTTTTGAAGCCTGGCCGTGACTATTCCAAAACATTAAGTGTAACGACTTATGATTTAACAGAGTCGACAGTATTGATGATGGCTTCGTGGGCTGTGTAAAGTTCGTTATATCGGTTACTCACCACGCCTTTTTGCTATACGCATTATTGACCAATACCGGACCTAACACTTTATTTTTTCAAAATAGAATTATTTTGTCCATATTTATTTCATTTATGCACG